AAAAAGAAAAGAGTTAAAGATATCCAGAAATGATATATTACGTATATTAATGTATTTAACTATGATTAACGATCAATCGGACTGAATGAATGTTATGGTCCGTTATTTATGAAATCTTCTAATCAAAGCATTGTTGTTAAATGCAAATAAGACATGTCAGTGATTTGAACAAAAAAAAAATTTATTTATTTTATAAAAGGATCACTGTAAAGACCGACAATAAATTAACATAATATTTATTTCTCTCAATATATGTAAGACATGCTAATACTAACAAGGCCAACACATATAAAAAAATAATGACATTTCGAAAATCAACAAACAATGCAAATTAATAGTTTGTCAAATTTGACAAATCTGTCTTTAACAAAAAGTAATAGGTACAACAAAAGTATTTCTTGTTAATATTTTTATTGTTATCTATGGAATAATACACTTTAAAACTTGATAAATGACTTGTTTTTAGTGTACACAATATTTTTTTTATTTTGTACATGTTTGTTCACCGATTACAGACTTGTTTAAAAAAAAGCGATTTCTTTCTGCATTAAATAAACAGTGAACTTCATTAAAGCAAATTCATGTTGATAATTATCAATAAATCTTTAATTAACTGAAGTTCTAGACCAATTGACAATTTCTACTGAAAATCATTGTTTCCTAGTTTTGAATTTAAGTACGCTTGGAATCAAATGTCCTTTTTATAACTCTATAATAAAAACTGTCACTCCAATTTTCGATTTAAGAATACCACTGAAGATTAAAGTAATGAACTGATGAACTAACATATGAAATGATATTTTCATTGATATGCTCTTTAAACACAAAATATATGAGTTATCATCTTAGAGCACTTACACTTTGTGCTTTATGTATGGCATGAACTTTTATACACATGTATATTGCATGTATTTAGTCTTAGTTCTTGCCTCGTGCTTCACTAATTGTTATCATATTTTTCTGGTCATTCGTATACTTAAAGTGTTGAAGATAGAATACCGCTTAAGTCTGTGCTAGGGTAAGTGAGGGATGCTGCACTTTTCTATTATCCCTTATCATTTTACAAAGGTATATATTTTAAATTAAGTTTGTTCTTTAATTACTCAGTGTTACACCGACTTTACTTCGGTATTTTCTAAAACAGCTCTTTATGAACCCTAATTCTCTCCCATTCTATTATAAACAATATCTACGTTTTTGTATCATTCTTGGGAACAACTGTTTTTGAAAAGTATTTTGTAGATATTTTATGTAAAAGCCCCTGATTTAGCTATTCAATTAAGTTAATAAATTTAAAAATCCTTTTAAAAGCAGTAATCAAACTTACTTGATAACATTACAGTTGTATGGCTCTACTGCCATTAAATCTGTTTTAAAAGACTTCCGAAGCCGCAAAAATTCAAATAATATCATTGAATAAATGACAACTTTGACAATAGTTAGAAAATGGACTTTGTTAACATCGAATCAGCACTGAATATTGATAATCTAATAAAAGCAACGTCTGTAGAATTTGGATAAAGTACATTGTTATTTATATTTCTACATATTATATTTCTACATATTTTAACATATAAAACACATTCTTTTAAATTGTAAGTTGTAACCGAAAACACGTTGTTTTTCTGATAGGTCTATTTTTTCTAATAGTTTTGATAATAGGTTGACAAAAAAGTATTAAACAAAGGGGGAAATGTCACAAAGAGCCCAAACAAATAGTTTATCATAAGTATAATAACATTGCTTTACAAAACTCCGATGATTATTTTTATACATATTATGATGGATATGAAAGTGAACGTTTTGTATTTTTTGTTATAGTGTTGCAACATGCATTGATAAATATATTGGCATGTGTGGTTTATCATAAGATGAACAAAATGTATGTCTTAGAGAGTAAACTAACAAAAAAGAATATCGATTAAGCTATCAATTCGCACATCTAATTAAACAAAATTCATTGAAAGTTTTGTTTCTTTGTTGTCTTCTTTTGGAGACGTAATGTGTTGTTATTGCAATTTTATTTAGTAAGTTCCGATTCCAATGTTTATAGTTTTCCTGTCATAAATTGTATGCATTTTTGCTTGAGCAACTTATTTAGATATTGCTTTACCCTTCGATTAAGCGTAATTTAAATGATTAATTTAAGAACAAATTAATGCCTTCATACATTAGCATCTATATTGTGATGTAAAGTTCAATACTATATTGAGAAGGGAGCGGTGGACTACCGGGGAAGGTGTCTGTCTTTCAACCCAAGAATTGTAATGAACATTGTAATCTAACACAATTTTCTTATCTAATGGCCCATTGGCTAGACAAGGAAAATAATTATCACATTCTCTGTATATGTCTTATTGTAAGAAAACATCTTTCCAAAATGCCGACATCTTCAAAAGGATCAAGTTTATTTTCTCAGAAACAATCACGAGATGGCGGTTAAGTCCATTCAGAAGCGGATCTTCTTAACCTTGATCTTTCCTTTAATCTAGATGTTCGAAAAATAAATTGACAAGAAATTGTTTTATTCTCAAGATGCCGTTTGTCGTGATTCTGAAAATGACATCGAGTCTGAAATGATTTCAATAGGGAAAAGACACGTGATTAATACACAAAGTAGTTTTTTCTGAATGCATCGAAGTGTTTTAGTTTGACTATGTTATAATCTTAATTTGCAAACGTCATACAAGTGATGTAAATTTGTATTTGAGGATTAATATCGTTTTTTTGGTAGCTGATAAACAATAATATTATATAAAACAACAACAAAAACAAGGGGGAAAGGCTTTTTTAAAGATATAGTAACGATAAAAGAACAAGAAAAAATACACTTACAACTGCTTCAATGAATCCTTTCTTTGAAAGGCAGTAAATCAATACAATTAATTTAGATTTAAGTAAATTCGAAACCTTCGTTATCAAATCAACGTAACCTTTTTATATTAACGCTAAACATGCTTCAGGGTAAACAGGAAGCGATGTAGTATTTCGCCTGTCATATAATGGAAATTGGATTATTAAATTTAGCAATTTTAAGAATATTCTTCTAAACATTGTGAAGGTGAAAAGCACTTGGTTGTAGGGCTACATTTATCTAATGGTGATTTTTTTTCATTTATAAAGATTTTTTTCTTCAATTCTTTTTCTTTCAAACAACGAAATATTATATATCCGAGGAGATATTATAGACATTCTATTTTTTAAACTTATTGTTTGGTTATTCGCAAAAATTATTGCATTGTTATTTGTTTGTATATATCAGCATTTTTTTTTTCATTTTTTAAGTAACTCAAATGAACAGGATATAACTGATCTAAGCAACATCTTTTGAATTTAAGTGTTCTTACAGGTGCAATTTATCACATTCACAATAAAACTTGTACCTAAATAAATCGTGACCAAACTGGTACCCGTATCATTAAAATTTGGAACATTGTCGATACCCAAGTAGAACTGGTACCCAGACTACTTGATCCAAAGAAAACAAAGTGGTATCTCCAGCGTACGTACGATGATCATATAATCGGCATTTGATTATGTTCCCTTCTCAAAAATGCTTCTCATAAATGACATTTTGTTCTTCAAAACAGTTTTTATCATTTAAAAAGAATAGAATGTTATTAATTAAAAATGTTTGTTTTAGTACGTTGAACATATCTTACATTGACGTGAGAATTTCTCTTTCTATTCTCATCTAAAAGTAAATAAGAATTTTTAAACTTCTTACTTCGTTATCTTCAGTATTCACCATCCTCTATGACAAAAGACATAAACATATCATATACCTTTTGTTTATTTCACTTTCAAAATTTATTGATGAACTCATTTTTATTCTTTTTATTTGTAAATATTTTTAATATCTTTTTGTGTGATGAAGATTATTACTTAACAAACGTAAAACATCGCCTGAAAATACACACAATGTATTTTGAAACAGGTGTCATTCTCTTTAAACATGTTAAAACACTGGTGTTTCAGACGTGTTCCATTGCCGTGTATAATAAAGAGATTTGAGCCGCGTCACGACACAACCAACATAGTGCGTTTGCGACCAGCATGGATCCAGACCAGCCTGCGCATCCGCGCAGTCTGATCAGGATCCATGCTGTTCGTTTTCAGTTTCTCTACTTGTAATAGGGTTTGAAGGCGAACAGCATGGATCCTGATCAGACTGCGCGGATGTGCAGGCTGGTCTGGATCCATGCTGAACGCAAACGCACTATGTTGGTTTTGTCGTGACGCGGCTCATTATTTTTGTAATATATAAGGAGAAGAAATAGGAAAGGGTTTAGTTAGCATTCTGTGATAATAGCACACAAAGAGAAAAAAATTATATTCTATATTATCTACAAAACATTGGTGTATAAAATTCCTTTCTGTCTAATATTTCAAATGCCACTTTTTCGGTCTATAATATCTGAGTTTAAAAAAGAAAATAACTCTTCCATGTTATAACATTAATATGAACCTCAAATACATCCGTATTTTAATTGCACTTTCTTATGATGATCCTTTATATCTTATCAAACTCCGCGCACCGGTTACGCTACGGCCTTCACACATATCACGTGATGATGTTCTTATCACATGATTGTGTCAAGATGGCGGATACGCCAAAGAAATTGTTTTAACGACATTTTAACTTGAGCACTGATGTCAAGTATATCGATATGATTGAAAAAAAATCATTTTTGTTAAGTGTAGAACCGAAATTATTAATTACTTAAATGAATAATCTTTCGAAAGCGGCCATTTGTTGGAAATAAACGGTGCGATTCATGATATTTATGTTTTCGAAATTACTTGTTATTTTAGGTCACATCTAACACATTAAGGTCTTGAAACGTTTACTTTTTAAAATAAATATCACAATTAAAAAAAAGGAAATATATCGTCATAAATCTTAACGAAAATGTTGTGATTGCAGAGATGTTATCCTGTAAGTGGAGTTCACTGCGTGGGAGAATGATATCTTATATGCTCACCGGCCCTTTAACAATCTTTGAAGTGTTACTTCCGGATCGTTGAAACGTTATTGATATTGATTTTATCGTTAATTTTTGTATCATATCAAGCATTTCCTTAACATATTTTGTTACAATCGAAATCACGGCATTGTTAAAAGTTGGAAAGGTTTACTTGAGTCAAAATGAATATATTTAATGAATTAAAATCGGAAAGTCTCATTCCAGCGGTAGTTATACTTGCCTTTTTAATGGTAGTCGGATTTGTTGGCAATTTGCATGTTCTTTTCGTGTACGCTTTTCGTGTAAAACCAACAAACCACAGGATTTACATAATATTTCTAAGCATTCAGGATATCACTGCATGCACAATTCTTATCCCTCTAAGAATTTATATATACAATAATTTATGGACTCACAGCAATGTTTTCACGTGTAAATTTGGAAGTTTTATGATGTGCTTAATTCTTACTGGATCGGCATTTACCCTGATTTTGGTTGCAATTGACAGGCAAGTGTGTTATACTTTACACAATTTTTTCTTATTTCCTTGTTAAAATAATCATTTATCATTTTTTACTTGTATTTGTTTTAAAATTGTAAGCGCTCTGAACTGATACATTAGCAATTATGATTTGTAAGTGAAACTGATGATTTATTAATATGATAAAGGTTGCGTTCATTGAACGCCGCCATTCCTTGTCGATCTTCTTTTTCATGTTTAACAGTGATTGCAAAATCAATTCAGTCCTAAAACCATTACAACATACCAGTAAATAATACATGTTAATATTCAACAAGTCCTTATTTTTGATGCTCTGTTTTTGTATAAAAGTTGATATTGTCCAACAACATTGACCTGGCACTCTTGCATTTGACCCTCGGTATATTCCGTAAACTTTACGATCTGCTTGTAAATCTATATGAATGTAAATATTGAATTGTTAAAATTGTGTAACTTAAAAATCCATCTTAGCGCAGTTGGTAAAGGACTTTCACTTCACTTGAAGAATGTAGACGTAATCTGGTAGTTCGAATCTGGTAGTTCGAATTCTATTACAGCAACTTGTTGTTGGTTTTTTTTTCATTTTAATTTTAAAATTATAATTAAAACTATTGCAAATCTTTTATTTGTGTGCACCATCAGTGTGGTATTTTTAATAATTGCCTTTATAGCGTGTATGCGCTAAATCACAAACGACTGCATAATGTCACAAAAAGAACCGTTGAAAGATACTGTTATAAAATAAAATATATGATTGTGTATAAAAACACCACGTAAAAGGTTTTTCTAAAACCAGGTCTTGTAAAACTATTTCAAATTAATTCTTGCAGGTAAATTTAAAAAAAAATAACGTGGTGTTGGTAAAGATTCGAACCATAGATCTTCAGATCGGTAATCCGACATCTATACCAATACACCACACTCTCTGACAAGTGAATTTAGCAAATATATTATATATATTCGGTAGATACTGGTCAGTGTTTATTCAAATGACCTTTACGAAAATTAATGAAGTGCCAGGTCAATATTGTTGGACAATATATGTTAATATACAGAGAGAAGAGTTACATAGATATAGTTTGGTTTACAACCGAAGTTTGATTATGTTAATGTTATAAATTTTTGACAAGTGTCCCATTTAATATGATGTGATATTCACCGACAGATGACATATTGACCGAGGCGATACTACACCCAGTGAATATGATTTCATGAAGTTCTGTTGCTTATAGCTATATTTAGGTCATATAATAATTTCCAATACATCCTCATTGTGACTGTTTTTCATTTATTTAGGTACCGTAAGATATGTAATCCACATGGGTGGCAGATAAAAAGACCAATTGCTAAACTGCTATGCTTCGTGGTAACGTTGTGTGCATGTTTTTGTTCATGGCCTACAGCAGCGTTAGGTGAGGTGAAGAATATTTCTGTAAATAATAAAACAATCTCAATGTGTAGTACTATTGATGGGTATCTTAAATATCAACTTTATCATCGTATTTTCATGGCAGTGATATTTTTCGGTTCGTTTTGCATTTTGGTAGTTCTTTATGTGTGTATCTTAAAATCAACATCCACTTATCATGTCAAAGAAAAAGTTAATGAAACGAAACAATGTGGATCAAGTTGTTACGTTGTGAACAGTTCTAAAGAAAATTTAATTCCAGATGGAGAAGGCATTGTATCTATAGACGAAGAAAATAAACAAGATAAAGTTGGGCGTCAGACAAAGTTAGACAACAAAAACTTAACAAAGTGTTCCACTGGTCAGGTTGTGACACAGACATCAAATGAAAGTCAACAAAAACAAAAAAGGACCAGGCGGATAACTCTTGCTTTCACATTAATAACAGTGTTTTATTTTATTAGTTATATCCCATTCATATCTCTGGATATCTTTCTATTACATGGTTTGTTCACCTCCACATCACCTACTATAGATGTTTTCATTGCGATACACATTGTTAGCTCCTGTGTATTCATCAATAGTACGGTTAACTGTTTTATCTACAGCTGCTTCGACGGTCGATTCAGAGAAGAAATAGTGATGTTATATAAAAAGTTATGTTGTAGACACCAAGAAACTGTTTGAAACACAAAGCAGGAATCGAATATTATAATGTACCCTACCAAAAACAGTATCATTGCCTTATATACTTAGTTTGATTACAGAGTCTGGTATTTTACGAGTTATAAAGTTTTTAACAGGTTTTATGGACCTACATAAAACGGTTTCTTGCAAAACACCTTTTATAAACGGCCATATAACCTGTCAGAATCTTAATGACGAGTTTATAATAATGAAAACTCCCTTTATAAGAAGGAAAAAAAGATTTTTTTCCTAAATCGACTGCACCCGTATACATAGATAACATAATCGTCATGATCATCCAATGAAAAATGACGTTACAAAGTTGCAGTACTTTAAAATACAATTGCCTGTATGTTTTTTTAATTTGTTGTTGTTTTTTTATGACTTTGAAAATCGTATTTGTAAATATAAACACACTGTGATTAGATACGTTTGGTACAAATAATTGCAAATATTTAAAAGGGTGTTTTTTTTTTCTTCCGGAAACATTTCCAATTCCAATGTAAGAGAACAAAATACTTTTATGCAATATAAGGAGTTTCATGCCTTTTTATATATATGCATATTTAAAACATAATAAAGTTTCTTCAAAAAAACGTTGTCATCTGTGTTGAACACTATGTCGTCTTTAATATGCATAACTGACGCTACAAAATAAGAATTTCATGAAATTTAAAGTTTACGAGATATTTGCATGAATTCAATACATAAATTGATATTGTATTAAATTGTACTTTGTGTTTTAAAATGTTATGCAATTAAAACAGACCAGTTAAAGATTAGTGTTTGCGTTTTCGGTTATTAGAAAATACAGTGTATAACAAAAATTCTTTGAAGTTACCTGGTCAGTTTACCTCTTTTGGCTAAAGTTACTTAAAGTTGTAAGTAAACTTGACAAACATTACTTGTTCATTTCTACAAAATGTTTTAGAAGCGAACGTTTCTTTTTAAAAAGTACCTTATCCCCATAAATTGTAAAAATTGTAATGAACTGCTTCCTGCAATCACTTTCTTATCAATTTTCAATGGCCTATTTTACAAGTTTTTGTTAACGATTAAGTGGCATATGCATGTATATTCAAGGTTAAAATTCTATATCAACTCTGTTTGGTGTTTGTATCAGATTTTTCCTATTACCAAATTAAAATTTAACACATTCTAAAGACATTTTTATTTCTGAATGATAAATCTGAATCCGTTTGCTTTGTTTTGTGAAGTGGTTGAAGAAGAGATAGTATAAAAATATATTGCACTTCACCATTTGCGACTGCATCTAGGATGATCTGTTTTAATCTGGCTCAATTACTTGTAAATTTTAGAAGCCAAATAAATATCCCATTTAGGTGAAGCCTTTTGTAGCACACTAACGAGAAAGCAGACATGTTTTACAGTATTCCGTGCGTGTTTCCATTTCTGACCTATTATAGAACGATTCTCTGTCATCAACTTTTATCTATGTCACCTTACTTGGTTAATTCATATTGCAGTACATTCAAAATATCATATTGAGATATAAACATTGAAAAGAAGCATTTTTGACCTCACCTCACTAAGCTAAATATATTGCTATCTACCTTCCCAAAATAACTAATTCTAGAGATAATTGTTATTATTTATTAACTATAACTGCCTATATAAAACTATTGAGTTTTCAGGTTACTCATTTCAACATAATGTCCAGTTGCATTGCAAAATGCGATCTCCGAACATACTATCAAAGCATAAACATAAACTAAAACATAATCTTTTAACATTCGCAAAGAGCACTCGTTTCCAACATATTCGTTTAAATAAAATAGAAATGGCATCTTGAGTGTAGAATTGTACAGTTATTGCTAACATGGCATCACAAGATATATGTATATCAGGGCTTTGTGATTAACGTTATTGTTGTCTTATAATAGATAGCGTAAGTAATATAACTTTTGTCTTTTATTCATATCGATTTCAATCAAGGCTTTTATTAAGATTTTGTACTTGTTAAACATTAGCAATATATGACTTAATGAACATATCATCATCATTCACGGTGTATAGCCAATGACTAGGAAGAAAACCTTTGCCGAGACATCCTTCGACCCTGCAACTGACATAGTTCGCTCCAAACACGAGAATATTTCATGTGGAAAGAAGTAGTTATTTCAAAGAGAAATAAAAATTGATGCATATATTCTGCTGTATTGATCTCAACATACCAAATACCATATAAAATTTAATCAGATTTTGTTTATCAGGAAACAGGAAACAATTGTTTTGTTTCTTTATATTTATAAGTTACATTACACTTCTTTAAACCTTTTCATGTGCAAAAATCAATGTTTCTTGTTGTTATCTGATACTTCATTGTTCCTTTTTACGTTACCGAATATCATTTTTTTAAATATAGCCATGCTAATGCATATATTAGCTGAAGAAAGATAACTCTTCTAGATTCAAATGAAAATAAAATGAGGTTTCGTCGCAGAATAAGTTCCCTGCAATGAAATAGGTATGTTTTAATTTACATTTAAGAAGACAAGATTTCCTTTCAAAGGAATAACACTACAAAACACAAATATCGAAACTGAAACTGTTTTATCTAATTAAACGCCTATTTCTATATACATATTCAATGGCGTTGTACAAAAGGATAATAAAAGTATGTACATATAATTTTGATAAAAAATCACTTATGCACGACAAATGAACTACAAAAAAATATAAGTAAAAGAAATCAGCCCCTGCAAAATATAAAGTGTTAAAAACTTAAAAATAAGAATAGTTATAAAAAATAATAATAAAAAAAAATTAAAAGAAAATAAATATTAATGGTTATTTAAGTAAAATTTTAAACACATTTCCACATCTCGATCAGTTTAAAGCCCAATCACAATCTTAAAACAATGCGTAAAAATCTCTAAAGTAGTAGGTTTTGACATTTTTCTTGACCATGTCCAAAGTCGAAGACTGTCTTATATACAGAGGCAATTTATTCCAGAGAGTTGGACCAACGGTACTAAAACTTCTGTCGTTAAATGTTTTCCTTTTGTTAAAGGGGACAGCAAAACAATAATCAATATTATCAACAGATCTGAGATTTGGTCTTTTTATGACAGGTTTGTGTAACAGTTCTGTTAGATAAACCGGAGCATTGCCCATGAAACAGTTATACATTGTACATAGTATTTTAAAATTGATTCTAGCTTTAATTGGTAACCAATGCAGTTCAAACAAAGAGTCTTTGGAACTATCATATTTTCCGCGTTGCAAAACAAGTTTAGCGCACATATTCTGGATACGCTGTAATTTCTGTAACTCACTTTCTGAAATGCCAAACAATATAGCGTTGCAATAATCCAAATGTGAGATTACAAGCGACAATACTAGGATTTTTGTGGCGTCCTGAGTCAGATATTTGCGAATGCTCTTTATTCTCAAATAATTTAACATGGCAGTTCTACACTTGGTCTTAACATGTGTTGAGAATCTTAGGCCCTCGTCTAAGTAGGCACCTAAGTATCTTATGACACTGACATTTTGAATTTTATCACCGGCGATATCAATTTCTTTAATTGAACATTTACCAAGTTGGGCTTTACTACCAAACATAATGAATTCTGTCTTAGTGGTGTTCATTTTGAGTTTATTGGCATTCATCCAGTCATTGATGATTACAGCACTGCCTTCAAGTTGCTTTATAGCGTTAAGTTCATTGGTCACTGAAGTTGGTCGAAAACGTTGACTAGCAATGTGGTCATCAGCAAAGCCGTACACAGATATGGTTGGTGGTATCACATCAAATAGGGTTCCCGCATATGTGAGATAGAGCCACGGACCAAGACAGCTCCCCTGAGGTACACTGCATTCCAGCAATCGTGGAGTCGAATCAGTAGAATTAACACTGACGCGACAACTACGAGGTTGCAGGTACGAGTCCACCCATGCTAACACGGTACCATTGACACCATACTGACTGTGTAATACGTCGAGTAGAATGTTGTGGTCAACGGTGTCGAAAGCTGCACTTAGATCTATTGCAATTAAAGCTGTCACCTCTTGCTTCTCCATACCGTCTAGAAGATCATTGACAAGTCTGAGTAAAGCAGTCTCACATGAATGATGAAGTCTGTATGCTGACTGATTTTTGGGTAACAAATTATGGGTATCGACATGGTTATTTAGTCTCTATCAGTTTTGAAAGAAACGATAAGTTACTGACAGGCCTGTAGTTTGACAATTGTAATTCTAAACCAGACTTCTTAAGAAACGAAATAGTAGTATTTTTCTTTTTATTCATCCTTTCAAGTGGAAAGCTACAACCATTTTTATCAGGTTTCCTTCTTGCTATGAATGTATCAAAACATGTTTTTATTCGATGTTCATGACATGTAACAATAATGAATCCTGATCATATTCTGCACTTCATTCCCAGATTTCATAATATGTAACTTTCATAACATGTAACAGTAACACTAAAATCGTAGTTTCCATTACAAATTACACATAAAAAATAAGTAAATGGTCTCACTTTAGGAGCAGTAGTCCAGTGGTAGGACACGCGCTTAGGGATCGAGAGGTCCCGGGTTCGAACCCCACAAGGGGCACTGCTAATTTCCTTGAGCAAGAAATTTACCTGCGATTGCTTCACTTCACCCAGGTGTAAATGGGTACCTGCGAGGGTGGTATAATTCCGTTGCGCCAAAGTGTCGGCTGCACTAAGCGGAGTTAAAAGACTCCCCAGGGAGATTGATAGATAGATACCAGTAGCCCGATGACCAGGGGTAATAGCTGTAAAGTCGGTGAACGTGCGTAAGCATGAAACTTAGACTATAAAATGCAATTACTTTTTACTTTGGTATGTTATTTATACTTATCTGTTATCATTTTTTTTATATTCTGCTTGACAGTTATTATCATATTACACTTTTAGATATATTTATGAACAAAGGGAAACCCTGGTGGAATATTTTATCACTGCAAAAACAGATGTCACTTAGATTTTTTTAATATTTAAGTTATGCAGCGTATGGGTTATACAATATAATTTCCATAAAATACAAAAGTATCGTTTAGTAGTTTGGTTACTGATAGTATTTAGTACAATGATTGCTTCTGCTTTGTAATTTACAAAAAAAACTAGAAGTCATATGGGACTTCTTGTTTGTTTTAGCTATACTTTCTTTGGGAATATTTCCTGCAACTAGCAAAAAAATAAAGAAAATAAGAATCCCTAAAGAAAGCCCAACACGGCAAAATTAAAAATGTTGCAGGCTGGGTTTGATTGAGCCTGTTCATGGACGGTACTGTCAAGTGCAAACTACCGTCCACGACCCCTAGCACCGGTTTAAGCAGAATTCAACATATAACATAAACTGGTACAATTTTGAAACATCCGCAGGTATGTTCATAACACTAGTATAAATTCTATCGCACTGTCTCTTCTGTATATCCAGGTCAAGATCGTTGTAACTATACTAAATTTGAAGAGTAATTATGTGCAGGGTTGTAGTTCATTTTCAGTCTTTTCGTGTTAATGTGAATGATGATAAATTAATGCATAATTGTTGATTTCGTTTATCAATAGAGTAAAGACTTGCTTAATTTGATAAATATTTAACATTTCCTTATATTAACGATTCTTTTGATTATAATTTGTTATCACAATAGCTGCACATTTCCGATCTTGTGTTCCTGTACTGCATCTTTTAATATGTTTTCCGTTGTATTATTGCTATCTTGGTCGATCTATAAGTTGCCATCGGTTACATTTTAACAAAGTTCATTTTATTGTTAATAAATGTTTCACCACACAGCTGATTAAAAGTTTTACATAAAATAAAATGGCTGATGAAATAACCTCGGAAAGTTTTATTCCAGTTGTGATTATTCTGTCTTGTATAATGGTTGTTGGATTTGTTGGTAATCTGCATGTTATTTTCGTATATGCGTTTAGGATAAAGCCAACAAACCATGCAATTTTTATTATAGTTCTGAGTATTTACGATATCAGTGAGTGTACTGTTCTTATACCTTTGGTGATATACATATACACCAATCCATGGAATTATGGCAGTGTTTTTATGTGTAGAATCTCCCGGTTTATGATGGGTTTAATTTTCACTGGATCTATATTCACCCTACTATTAGTAGCTGTTTACAGGCAAGTAATTTTTATGATAGAACACCATTGACGTCAATATAAACATTTATACATACCATATTTTATAGCCAAACCGCTAACTCTAGTATTTATTGAAAATATTCTAATTTTACTTAGCAATAGAAATAAAATAATAAAGTGGTTACAATTTATTTATAGTGTTTGTTTATGGTCTTTTAATGGTGTTCCAGATTGAAAATTAACATGATACTTATTAATGAAATATTGAGAAATATTGATGAAATAAAATGAATGTTTTCATTTTTCGTATTTTCACAGTAAAAATTATTTTTAACTGCAGTGAAACATATTTTCCGCATTTTCAATGACGTCTTGCCGGACTACTTTCTTTTAACACAAAAAATAACGGAAAGTCTTTCAGATAGTAAAGTAAAAAAAGAGACAAATGTAAATAATAAACAGAAAATTAAACTTTTTTCTTTAAAAACATGATTTATTTTCATCTTGTGGCATGAGAAATATCATATTTCACTCGTGGCTACCGCCACTCATGAAATATTTATTTTCATACCACTCTATGAAAATAAATCATGTACATGTTGTTGTGTATTTATAGAAAAAAAATTGAATATCTGCTATTTATTGTCAATATTATGGATGGTCTAAAATGTATATCTTTGTCTGTATCATAAGTTTATTCATGACCGACTCTCTGGTATTAATGTTAATATCAATACTCTTCCATTAATTAATGTCATGTGCTTTGGAAAACAGTGTAAGCATGCTGTAAGAAGTTGATTATATTTTGTTTAAAGACAAACGATTTCATGGTGGTTTGAGTGGAATGTTGATTTGTCGAATACTGTGATATTTTAACAACGGAAACTATCGTTTGCAGTTTAAATATGAGGTGTAATTGGTTTATTTATAGGAATGTAATCAAACTGGTGGGTCAGACGAGGTATTCAAAAAAGTAGATTGATCTCCTCATGAATCAAATAACAATAGCTCTTTATTGATCAAGAATGTCAAGTGGCTTTATATCTTTGACTCGCATGAACGTGATGTTAGTGAATTTCCTCATACCTATTTCAACGTGTATATCCAGTAACGCAGGCCTATGAATATAACGCACGATTCACGCGTCCAGGAACCACGTCCCTTCTTCAAAGGTCAAGGTCTCACTTATATTATGAAGGTGGTTCATGCTATCACAATTAGAGATTTCAGGTATATTAATACAAAGAACAATATTCAGCAATTAGTTACTTTCATTCTCTTTTCTTTCCATAATACCTGCATGATTAAGAAACCTTTTCGGGGACATTCGTCACTTTGGCGACAGCTCTTGTTTATAACTTATATATCATGTCTTAGTTTCTGTTTTCATTTCAGGTATAGAAAGTTATGTCGGCCACATGGCAGGCAGATAAAAAAAAGAGTTGCTAAACTGCTATGCTTTCTTGCTGCGATTGCTGCCTGTGCATGTTCGTGTCCATTACTTGTATTCATTGAAGTAAAGACACACTCATTGGAAAATAAAACATTCACAGTGTGTGATATAGTTGAAGGGTACAATAAGTATGTCCTTTATCATCGTATAATTATGGCACTGGTGGTGTTTGTGTCTATATGCGCTTTGGTATCTATGTATGTATGTATTATAAAAGCAGCATCAAGATTGCACACCAAAGAAAGCTTTGGTGATGTTCACAAAAGTGGTGTAACAGGTTTGAAGCATATAAAACTAAATGTTTTAAATAGACATAAAGAACTATCAACTTCATGTATAAAGATTATTGATTCGCCAGAAGTCGGGTATAATCAAGATAACATTGAGGGCAAGACAATAGATAACAGCGAGACTTTAGCCACCTGTTCATCCAACCAAATCAAAACAGAGACAACGAATGACAATCACCAGAAAAGGAAGAGAGTGAGACAAATAACACTAGCTTTTATATTAGTGACAGTGTTCTTTTGCATTAGCTATATTCCATCTACATCTGTGGACATTTTTCTAAAACAAAGAAAACTGACCTACCCGACCTACTCGTATCTCAGTGTAGATAGTATTATTGCAATACACATTGCATTGGCCTGTGTATTTATCAACAGCATAGTAAACTGTTTCATCTACAGCTGCTTTGACAGACAATTCAGACAGGAAATAGGGAGACTATATAAAATGTTATGTCGCAGACGAAAATACCGACGATCCAATTAATACATAAAAACCTCAGAAAACCATCTAGTTGGACTTTCTCCTGACCAGTACAAATGATAAAGATTTAATCAATATAGCTGCACGTATGGATTTATGGATTAGTAATTTTTCGACCTCACTATGCAATTTATTTTCAGTCTAGGTACCAAATATTCAGAGGTGATATAAAGGTACATGTATTAAATAATTTAAGAAATTTTCTTGTTACTTTAGAAAATGACCAAATGAAATGCTAATTGTCTTGTCAGTCTGTCCGTCCCTAATTTTACAAAAAAAATAAACACGCACACGCCAACGCGCGCGCACCTACGCACACACACACACAATCACACACACCGCTTTGAATCTGTCAACAAACAGCATGTTCCAGTGCTGCGATTTGGATGTTTCAAAAATAAGTGAATAGAATATGTATGTCGTATCATGAAACTGAATGGGCTGGGTATATGTTACTATATGGTAATCTTTCTACACTATGTAACATTTCGTGTGAACAGTTGAAAGTCAAAATAAGTTTTTATTTTGCCATAATTCCTTTTAATTTAATAATTTACTTTGCCTAAACAATAAATAACGCAAGGATCCAAGGAAAATTTCTGTAAATATCCCTTAGAATTTACCTGTTATGTTCAGATTATAAAAAGAGTTGGGCAGTCTTTTATTCTTTATGCACATTAAAATTTTACCCTAAACATTGTCCAACATCAACTGTTGTTCAAACACAATTTAAACAATCAATCTTTTGGAATATGAAGACAATGGAGCTGAACTTGACTATAAAAATATATGCATAATGTCACTTTTGCAAGAAAACACATACAAGAGCCCGACAAAGCAAGAGAAAAATGATGATTTAAAGAGATCAATTTTTATAAAGCTTCGACCTTTTATGTTCAAACCAGTTTTGTCTGTGACTCTAGCCGTTCCTGACCAATTTGACTGACGAGACTGATCGTCGTTGGGCCATCAAAAGATTCTGTAAGTTAATCTATGTGTGAGGTAACCAGGTAGTCAGAGGGTAGTTGTATGACAGGTGTTTTGTGTATTGACATTTTCATGATTTGTGAGTTGTTCATGACAGGTGTTTTGTGTACTGACATTTTCATGATTTGTAAGAACGCCACATTTTCTTAAACCTGGTATCCTGCATGCGTCCCATGTGGAATGTTTTATTTTACTTTTCTCCATTTGCATTACTTTATTTTGAAAATGTAATATATTAAATTAAACATTTAAAGCATAATTACTTGTATAATTTATTTCATTTGTTCCTCTTTAACGATTTTAAAATCTTATTCTTAAATACATTCACACGATGTTATAGAGATATTTTAAGCGTGAATAATAACAAATATACATAGTCAATCTGCATCTCTATCAAAAACACTTTTTTTTTACGTATGATTTATTAACAATATGAAGGGGAGATGATGTCTCTCCCTGCTTTACTACAAAATAATCAGTTAACTTTCTATTTAATCAGACACACACATTGACAATATTGTACTTTCAGCATGTTTGTTTTAAAACTTAAATGATATATCATAGCTTTGTAACACCGCACTTTGGGGCCAAACGCACTTTGGGGTCCGACCCCAGAGTGCGTTACGCACTTTGGGGTCCAATTTCGACCCCAAAGTGCGTTAAACAGGTACATATGCATTTTTTAACATCAGGCAAACGACCGCACTTTGGGGTCATAGAAAATTAATGTTTATTATGTTTTAAATAATATATTGTAGTCAAAGCGAATGGTAAACAAAAATCAAGTATTAAATAGACGCAAAAAATGTGCACTGGATTATAGTAGAATCAATAGGATTTTAAATGGTCTTGATTAGTAAGTGAAGAACTTTCACCAAATAAATCACCTAACAAAGAATCTGTTTCAATTATTTAGCTTAAGGTGACAACGGAGTCAATTATCACTGAAAATACCTAAAATGAGATTTTTTGCTTAGTATATTTATCAACCTTTTCTGAACACATTCGTGATTTAATTTTGGAAGCAGTTAGTCCAAAAAATGTGTTTTTAAACGTTTTAAAACGGTACCTGTACTATTTTTATCTGCTATCGCGTAACCTGTCAATTATCGATAACGCTCCGCCCCCTGTTGAGGCATCAATGAGGGAAATCGGTAGTTCCATATATGCGTGAATTACCGGTCCATACTGGTCCATACTACTCGTAATTCATGTATCGTACAAATACTGTACATCTTTTATGAATATCGTCTACCTTTTATTTAGCCTTTTTTATAAAATAAGAAATTGTCGGCCAATGTACGTAACATAATGTATGAAACATAAATAATTAAGCATAGCGACAAATCGCACGACCACGGGGTTGATTAAAAATATAGTTGCTAAATTATCCATAATGTGTGAAAATAATTTGTCTGTCCCGTTAATCTGATAGATATTACATTGAGTTTATGGACTTTTGTACGGATTCAAGGGCTTGCTTTACATTCAGCCTCGTTTCTAACAATGTCAAGTAAAACAACAACAAAAAACAGACAACATTTTTTATGTGAACGCCTATATGACTTGTGGTAAGGTCTCCCTGACAAATTTCTAAACCATTTTAGGTGTCTAAGGATGATTATTTCTCTATGAATCAATAAAAAAAGATAATAAAATAAATTATCAGTGAATGCTTTGAATAAATTGTTCGCTAGTAAATCGAACACAGTACCAATAAACCTGGGAGAAAGTTTGGAATTTATTGTATATCCCAGTAGAAACTGGATCTCTATGCCGTGCATAGATGATTTTCATGATAATAGAAGTCAAGAAGGTCAGATCATAATGATCGAGTGATACCTTTTATTTCTATTAAAATATGTGAAGCATTTATATCACTTTTGAGGAAAAAATATATAAAATCCCGTTCTTATTTGTACATCTACCATGGACTTTAAAATACTGTCAGAAGCTCAGTTTTTTTGTTATTTTAATTTATATTTTAACGGAATTTCATACACGAGTACACAGATAGAGTGACACTGGTATAATATAATAATAATGCTGATGATAATAATAATAAACTTCAAATGTGAAACAATTAAATACCCCGCTAGCGGTGCACAAATACGTCCCATTTCCCCCCACCGAGTGCCTCAAATTTTACCGAAAGTCACGTGACATGTGCAACCGATACCAGACTAACGGTAAATCACGTTAAGATGTGAAGAAATTTCTGTTATAAACTGATATTAATCAGCAACTTTTTAATTGGTCAGATATCACTGGGTCATAAAATGTTGTTAGTGTATGTTACCGCAACTTGTGACCCTCTCTGGTGCGATATTTGTGTATTATGTAATTATTTAGCGTGAAACGTAGGGGTCCGAGAGAGAACAGCCAATTTATGACGCTTCGTTTGGTGCGGATCGGACTAACTTTGAATCGGCATAACTTTTTTAATAATCAAGCAATTAACATGCGGTTTAAAGCACATGAAAGGGAATTCATTTACGGAGGGAACCGTGTCAGGGATTTTTGTTTGCTCAATCAGCGACTTAATTATCTTTAATTACGTTACATGTATGGTGAAAAAAGTCGCATAAAATGTTTGACGTTACGTAATATTTTTTTGAGAAAAGATAGACAAAATTTGAGACACTGTTCCCCAGATATTATAAGTATGTTTATTTTCCAAAAGTTTGATGACAAAAAAATAAAAAATGACTTTGATATGACGATTTAAAATTTTAGGATTTTTATTAAAAATCAATCATTTACAAAGACATTTTTTTCAAATATGTTATTTTTTATGATGATCAACGACATTTAATGCACAAAGATTAAATAAATAACAATTATTACTAAAATAAGTTGGTTTAAATGACATTTATGTGATTACCACGGAAAGTGTCTGTTGTCACCTTAAAATATTTTTTTTTTTCTCAAATTTTCCATGTGTTTTAAAAGAATGTACACCGTTTATTAACTCCATTGTTTTTAGCTAAATGGATTATTTTCCCGTTTTTTATTTACACATTTTATAGAAATTCTGGGCAATCGTAGTAAGACATTTTTAGTAAAAAAATGTGCCTGATAATATGTTGAAAGAGCCATTTATTTAGCTAAATGTGACATATTAGAAAATTGACTAGGTGTAGATGCGGCTTTAAGTAGTAGTCCGTACAGGCAGTACTAAAAATATCAACTATTTAAGTAGTCGCACATTAAGAGCGGAGCTTCAGAATAATGTAAAATTCTTACTGGGGGTATAGAGGGGATTGTGGGGTATCGACCCCCCCCCCCAGGGTTAAAAATAACGATTTAAAGGCCTATTACGCTTTTATTTGTTTTTCTTAAAAGCTTTTTATTTTAAAGTGTTTTTCTATATAGTCCAAAAAAATTACACATTGGCCAATTACCTGAACCATCTTTTTCATCTGTTGCTTTTTTGCATGATGTGTACAGTTATAGTGAATTAGTATTTTATATGAAAGTCAAATACTACAGTGTTTTGACTACTTTTATGACAAATAACGCTACTTTATTCACGTAACAAGCATCTTACATTTCTATGATACCATTATTTTAACATTATAAAATTCATGTTTGCTCTTTCTAAAGAAGTATGTAAGCCTCTTGCGAACGGTTGTAACGGAGCTTACAAAAACAATTAAGTTTGTTGATAAGCTTAATTATGTATTTGTAAAAATCACTATTTATAGTCCGATCGAAAAACTTGATGTTTCACCAGAACATTGCAATAGAGTATATTTATAGGTCTTTGGAAAAAATATTAACTGCATATTATTTCATTCCCAACATATGGTACTCAATATGGCACCAAAAGTTATCAAGTAAATGACTGACAAAACGGGACATTTTTCGCAGCATCTTTTAATTTGAGGAATACACAATTTCTGTACTAGAGTATTTTAAACGGTGGCATAAAAGTGACATTTGCATTTTTTTAAACATTTTTTGTTTTGTTTTTCATAAATATATTTAATGTCGTACATATTTTTTGTTAATTATGAAAACATACCTTTTTTTAATTTTGCATACATATCCCTTTTTAGTTTTGCATACATATTTATTATTTTTTTTTTTTGTACATATTTTTTTTCGTACATATTTTTACATGACGCCATTTGCAAAGAAGAGGTTTGGATAATTACGCCATTTGTAAAACACCATTTTTAAATTTTATTTAAAATGCCTTTTGCAAATACCAACATTTTCATTTTGGAGGTATCAAAAAAATAACAACACTTATAATATATATATATAGTCCGCGGTAACCCAAAGAAATGTTCTGCATATTGTCTCGATGTGGTTAACATTTTACACAAGGTGCCTAAAAATCCTTTATGGTGTTTTGGAGATAAGGAGCGGACATGAAACCCAAGTCTTAATCCTTTGACCTGTAGGTGTGACCCCCGACCTTGAGCCGGCACACCTGGCATGTACGTTCTGCACATTTGACCCAATTTTCATAAAAATCCTTCAAAGCTTTAAGCATTTTTTCTAAATCAGTGGAATATAAGGACCTTTTTAGATCTTTTATTGTGCATTATTGTAATACACCAGTCATTGGTAACCACCTCCCTTGCTGCCGGGGAGTGCGGGTTAAAACAGAATCGTGCTTTGATGTTTGCGCTGTTCCGGGGCATAAGGCAGGAATGTTGTTATCTTAGTATGCCCCGCAGGGCGAAGATTTTACCAGTGGTCGGCTTGGTTTAAGTCAATGTCCCCCCCCCCCTCCGCTATTCTCAGGGGGATGGTTTGCGTGGTGCATATTCATAATAATAACTGATCACCCATCAACAGCCCTTTCCAAATAGACTCTAATATAATAATATATATAATATAATTAATATAATATTATAATAATAAAAAACAATAATTATATAAAATACATATAATTTAAAAAATGCGCCGAAAAGGGTCTGCCGAAACCAGACTTTCCCTGCCGAAAACGACTGGGCCGATTCCAAAAATGGGCCGAAATGTGACCAAACCACCGTGCTAGTTTTATACTCAACTATGGGCTGTTTTGAGATGTGAAGGCTGTTTTGATTGGCTAAAATATGTACGAAAAACAAAAATAAAATATGTACGAAAAACTAAAATAAAATATGTATGCAAAACAAAAAAAAATGCAAATGTCACTTTTATGACATCGTAATTTTGTTATATGGACACAATTTTTAGATATTTCAAGTGGTAAAATTAATGAAGCTTTTATCACTTTAGCATTATCAAAGTATTGACCGC